AAACCAAAAAAAGAACAAAGAGGTGCAAAGTAAGTTGCCTCTACGTGGTGCGCCTTGGAAACGATTGAAACCGGCTAAAAACTTACATAAACTTATATTTTCACATAATATATATACACACATTTACTCACACATACATTGTTGAATATTTAATGCACAAGGATGTTTTTCTCTTTCGCAAAAGTCGGTCCTATCATAACTATGTAAAATGTGGATATCTTTAAAACAGGAGCAGCTAGGATTTCAATTCAAAGGGATTCTTAACCTAAAAATATTAACAAATACAACCCTGCTTTCAGTTTTTGTCGACATTTTTATGCAACCTATCTTTGCTTCCTGCCCACCGTGTGTATGAGCCACAATGATACGATGAAAAAATTAAGTACCTACCCGCACATAAAAACATATGCACATACAAATAAACATACATAAGTGGGTATGGGGAAATACATACGTGAAAGTGATAACGAGAAACATTTTGTCGCAAAATTTCTTTTGCTATGGTTTTCCCCCAAAAATACATATGTGTATGTATGTGCGACTGTTTGTACACAAAGAAAATCTCGACTATAAAAGCGCATCCCGACTCAAAAGAAATCATTGTCATTGTACCTTCTTCAAGATGAAGTTATATGGATTCTTCGCTGTTTTGTTAGCCCTATTGGCTTTAGCAATTGGTGAGTTAAGATTTTGACAATATAATATGTAAAACACTTACTGACATATATGTGTTCTTATACACAAATTCTTACTACAGCAAGCCCAAATCCTCTGCCGAATCCTGAGCCTGTGCCCGGAGGCGGTGGCGGTGGTGGAGGTGGCGGTGGGCAGTTTGGTGGCGGCGGCGGTGGCGGTGGTGGTGGTGGTGGCAAGTAAACTGACCACATTTTTTTTTATGAACATAAACACTACTGTAAGAAATTCTCAACTTTAATTATTAAAAATGAAAACAAAAACCATTTAAAAGTACAATTAGTTTTTTATCTGAAAGAATTATTCTGATCACCTTTAGAACTGTATTATAGAATGTAAAAATATATTATGTGATGGTCTTTAAAGGAACTCACTCGGGCTGTGCACATTAGGGAACGTACCCATACTACGTGACCCACTTTTTGCAATTTTCAACCCCCTCCCCCCTCGGTGACCACGCGTATTATATTCCAAGACCCTCCCGCTCCCTCTAAAGTTTTCACGTAGTAATTCATTAATATGCTTTTGAATCATTTCCCTGCTAACAAAAAGTTAAAAAAACATTTATTTGGCTTATAGTATGAATTTGTCTTTATTAATACGGCGCTTGCTGCATGAAAAACGCTAGATTTCCTTAGAGGGTCACATAGTATGGGTACGTTCCCTTATGAGATACGGTAGCGGAGTAAAAAATTTCGCCAATTTCCAAGAAAGTAAAAAAAGATACCCAAACATTCCCACGTCAGTCGGTTCTACGTACCAGAATGACTTGGGTTTATTATGAACAAGGGCTGTGGTCTCGGTGATCCAACAACTCGCAGCGGAGTTGCTTCGTATTCTTTTCGCTTCAGGCTGGCATCGAGGGAAACCTCCGATCATAAACCTACTTCTGCGGTCACAAAAGGTGTGAACCACACGGTTTTTGGCCCTATGTTGCTCAGGCCTAATGTTTCCATATCTACAGTTTTAACTGTAAATTTCTGTTTTTGTTCGGCATGTGAAAGTTCCACCCACGAAAATAGCCACCTCTTCACATGCCCACTCAAACCAATCCAACTTACCCTCTCTTCTTCTTGTGCGATCCGTGGAAACAGCACATGTTCAGAAGTTTTTTACCGAGTCAATCTTTTTACTTTCAATTCGAATCAATGTACATATCTGCTCAACTAAGACGAGGCGAAATGGGTAGTAATGAGGCTTGAAGACAACAATGCGCTTAGTGCCGACGGAATACCGGCAGTACAAAGTCCGCTCCAAAAAGCTGATAGGGCGCATGTACCAGATGTAAAGCGTATTCTGTCCTATGATTGCATGCTCGCAGATTGGAATCTCCGTGTACTTTGCCAAATCCATAAAAAGGGAGACACCGCCGTTTGCGCCAACTACTTCTTAGAGTTGCTCTTATCGACGTTGTCAGTTGACTTGCTGCTGAAATGAACAAAACTGAAATAGCTTAGGAATCCCTGTAGAAAACTTCTAAACGTAAAATACATACGCGGAAGGGCTTACGCGCGCGAGTGGACAATAAATACAGGGACGTCCACCAGCACAATGGAAGAACCAATGGTAGAATAGCCAGTCTACACTTTGCAAAGGACAGCTGCATTTTGCGATGTTTCTCGATCTTAATCCAAACGAACAAATAGTTGTCGTTTCACTTGGGAAATCAAAACTTTTACATCCCAGCACACTTGCACGCAAGGATGTACTACATTTGTTCGCATAACGGTTGTTTGTAACAGCTTAAAGGAATCTAAATATGTACATAGAATAGGGCGGGCCAATTTTTTCGACTTTAGGCGTATAGCATAAGAGAATTCGATGTATAATTCTAAGCAAATTTTCCGAAAACACCATGGGTCTAAAATCAATTTGGAGTTTGCTAAATTGCGACAATAGGTTTCTTTTACTTAGCAATTTGCTGTAGTGCCGCAAAGAAGTGCTTAAATTTTGTAAAGAAAAGCATGCTATAAGAGGTTTTGATATGAGGAATCTATTTCTGTACTCATCTTTTTCCTAAAACATCCGCCAGAGGACGAGACAGTGAAAATTATCACGTATATTTTACTTATCCTTGAAAAATTTGGTTCATACAACTAAAACTCAATACAAACTACATGCATGTATGTACATTAGACTGCGTCATCAAAAAAAGTTGCGGTTTTTCCACCGGGATTACAAAATTTATTATATTTGAAGACGTCCACCAAAATATTTCGGCAAAATATTAAGATTAAGACGTGAGATGGACCGATTTGAAAACACCTCCAGAAACGGAGAACTTTTTGAAAACAAACCCCTCAGATGACAAAACAATTTAAGCTTAAAAAATCTGCATAAAAATATTTACAAACTGAAGCTTTTTTTACATTTTTCCATGATTGGTTTAAGAAAAACTTGAATAACTGAACCAAAGCTATTCCGATTTAGACTTATGAATCCGTGCAAAGGTATTTTCCTACTATTTTTATTTCTGTGCAAAAAAAAACATTAAGGCACTCCTTAACGACACTACAGCAAAATGCTATGTAAAATAAACTTATTTTCGCGATTTGGCGAACTCAAAATTGATTTTGGACCCATGTTTTTTTTAGCAAATTTGCTTAGAATCACACGTAGAATCCGCCTATGCTAAATATACGCCTATAGTCGAAAAAACATCCCATGCAAACATATATACACAAAAACTCTCAGAATGAAAAGCGAAGTCGATTAAGCCCGTCCGCCCGTCCGTCCGTCCTTGTACACGATAACTCTTACGAATTTGGCATTTTGGTCGCCCTTGATCCAGGACATGTATTGGAAATGGGCGTAGTCGGGCGGTATTTTAGAAAACTTAAAAATTCAACATTCTTGTAAACACTGAATCCAAATTAATGAAAATTGGAACGCGAAACAAAGTTTTTAGATAAAATAAGTTAGGAAATTTTGGGAAAATGGGCGAGTCGGCTCCGCCCATTTATAATGAAATGCTGTATTTCAGTAGTTGCTTCACCCACCCCCCACCAAACCGATACAAACATGGTTTAGAGTCTAACTGTTAAATTGTTTTTCTTTGAAGGCCCATTTCTCGATTTCGGGGGCTAACTTCGGAAAGTGGAGAAACTAATTTTTAAATTATAACTCAATCTCTTTAAAAAAGTTTGTTTTGCCCAATACCCAGCCAAGTGCTGTAAAGTGTTATTGCCCTTGATACAAAAAAAAAACATGTTGAACAGTTTTAAAATCAGACTAAGATGACGCTCAGATAGGTTTTTTAAAATGCGGGTTGCACCGCCCACTTATGACTACATTTTAGAGATGCCAGATCGAAATAAAAAAAAATCGATTCAAATCGAAATAAAAATGATCGATGCAGTAAGAAATCGTAAAAAAGTAAATCGATCTGCCAAGATCAATTAATATAATTTGCCAAAAACGCCTTTTACTTAATTTTCTTAAAGAAACTACATAAATACGGCCTTTTATCCTATCCTATATTACAAACATTATTGTTAGAATATTTTAAAACAAGCATTGCTATAACGGTTTCTTATCTAGATTTATCCAAAAGCTATCAGGTAAAAGAAATTTAGCAGGTTTTTCTATATTAAGAAAACAATATGAACCTTCAACAGAAACTGCATAAATTCTTAGTCCGACTTACATAGGATAATGGTAAATTTGTTTTCGATTTTTTTTTTTATCACAAAAGAAAAAAAATTGTTTTATTTCAAAATTAATCGCTAATTTAAAAAATATATTATACATTAATATGCTAACTCAATCTATGTATACAGATTTTTTTGGCAATACGGATTTACATTTTTTTTTTGTTTTCATATTCTACAATTTGTTATTACGCTAAAAATGGCAAAAACGATTTTTTTTTGTAATATAAGTTTGCAGTTTTGTAGCACATTTTCCTCCATACAAAGTATGTTCGACAAAATTTTCATATAGATGAAATGCCTAGCACCGGCAAACATAAAATAAAAAAGTGCCAAGAATCAACGATATTTTGCAGCCACTTGAAACATAAATTGAATGCGCTACAGTGCGGGCCCCCTGTGAGTACTAAGAAAAACTGCGGCCACTGGTTTAGTTGTTTACAATTGTAAACATAATTATGTTATTATTAGTCAAAAGGAAAAAAACATATACTGATATTTTTTAATTTAATTTAGTTTTTAAAAAACTTATTGCCTAAAGGCCAAAAGCATAAAGACAGTTGCCAGAATTGACCTGTTATATTGATTTGACACTACCTTATTTGAAAATTTTCCTTCCTTTGTATAAGATAGCCAAATGATAGAAGATGAAGCAAGAACGCTGTTTCATTAAGTCACCTGCTTATTGCGCCATGTACCGCTACGAAACCTTAGGTGCGCTTAAATTCTCTATTTATTTATTTATGCTTTTTATAAATCAGATATTTTTACAATTTCAAAACAATAAACTACGTTTCTTATTGAAAATTGAAATGTTGACAAATCCACTGTTTTGATGGGCGAAGCGAACACCAAATCGACGCCAAAATTGTGTGTAGGGGGGCCTTTACACTCATAGAAAGTACAAAAGTTACCCGAAGTAATAACTCAAATTTGTAATCACAATGTCTTAGATCAAGGCTGTCGAAACCGCGGCGCGCGTGGGTGGTACCAACCTGATCCGTATGGCTGCCGCCTACTCAACGACGCATTTTCCTTTGCTTACTAAACTAAATCAGCTATTTAGTACTTAAATTACGTTGTACTACAATGTGAAACCCCTTCGTTATGGTAAAAAAGCAACTAAATATGTCTTTGATTGACCCGCCTGCAGTGCCTTCCACGCTTCTTAAAAATTGTAAATAAATACATTTTTATAATTTTTTTCTTTCTTTTTATTTTTTTTATTTTTTATTTTTTTTTCATGTGGCGCGGGTTCCCTTGTAGCGTGGGCCCCTAGGCTAGCGCCTATGCAGCCTGTGCTTAAATCCGCACCTGCATACCCGAAATTTTTTTAAGAAAATATGATTAACTTATTCACTGCAGCTCACTTGCATGCTTTGAAATGCTCATACATTTTTTCAATATTTTGCTCCAATTTGCGCTGGGGCTATTTTGTGTTAAATAAACTAGTGCAAATACTCTAAATTATAGGTAGATTCCCCAAGCCCCCTTCATTTTTTGCACTGACCTCAAATTTCAAATTTGATTAAAATTTTCTAGATTTTATATGCATCAATTGAGAAAAAGTCGCATGTCGTTTCACTATTTCTTGGATCGATTCGGAACTAAAAATCGACAAAAATC